TGCATTGTGGGGAGCGGAGCATGGATTTGCAAGCATCGTGAGCATCAAAAGTTGAGCAATGTTCAACTTTTGATGCTCCCGATCAGAGGGATCTAGGGCTCTGCTCCCGATGCTTTCGAAGCTGGCATCAGCCAATCAAATCCCGTTTATGCAAATCCCGCCAGTACAAGCGCTAGCCAATCAAACCGCGTGCAAGCTGGGAGAGCCAGACCGCAGTTCATTTCCTCATATTCCAAACGAGAAATTACGGTAGCAAATCACCCGGTTCTTTCCGACCAGAACTATTTACCGGGATACAAACCGGAGGAACCAGGCATGGAGGGAGGTAGCAGAGACAGTGGGTGAAACTGGTAGGTTTTCGCCTGTTTGGGGAGTTTATATCCAGTTTACTTCGTTTTAACATTTCTATTGCTTTGTATGTCGGGGGCGGGAGATTCATGTGATTGGTTGTTGGTCGCGTTGCTCGCAAAAAAACGCCAAGCTTCAGACACGCCCAGCATCAAGATTTTTCAAGATTTGTTTCATGCCTGTCGGTTCGGCCGGTCCACACACAGGCATATACCAATACCAACTGTTTGGTATTTTGAAAACAAAACTTCACAGACATGACAGCAATACATTTTAATAAATTAGACTTGATTACACTGTATATAATGTTTTAAAACACATTTTTGTTTAAGAATTCATGGTAACATGGGGTGAGTATTTAAAATACATATTCTTATCAACTTTACATTTTAGCTTATTTACTCATAAGATACCGGAAAAATGTTTCATTGTGATTTGAAGCCACATTTGAAGCCTCTTAAAGTTTCCATCATTGTGCTGAAAACCTTCCTTTCTCGCATCCTCGATCCTGTTCTCCCTCTCTTTACATCTGAATCTCCTCCTTCATCCTATTCTCTCCTTCCTTCAGTCTGACACCCTCTCACCTCCCTCTTCCGTTGACCTTTCCTTCTCTTTACTTAAGTGTTGATTGCTCCTTTTCTCTCTCTCTCTCTTCCTTTCTCCATGCACTGCTCTTTCAATCTCTTTCAATCTCTCTATTTCTTGTCTCTCGCTTGTCTTTCACCTTCTCCCCTGCCAGAAGTTGATGACCAAGTCCTCCTCCCTTTGACTTATGAGCGCACACACACACACACACTCAGACACACACACACACACACAAACACTCAACAGTAGGTTACTCTGTGTCAGCGACTGTTCTCTGCTGAGTGGCTTGTGGGCGTCTTGATGATGTCGTTGTTACTGTGGCGATTTCTGTTGCCGAGGAGACGTTTCTACGACAACAGACTGTGGCATAGAAGCACAGACACTGACAGACGGCCACACACACACCTCAGGGCCGAGAGAGAGAAAACAACGTGTCAAGAAGCTGTAAATTACACACACGCGCACATATTTAGAACTGGACATACAGGCTGTTTACCTATATGCACTCCCACATGTTCATCAGGTCATCTGGGAGAGTAACCACACTTTAATGTCGGTATTTGACACATGTTGGAGTCACCTTTTGACCTTTCATTCACACATGAAAACTCGAAGAGGCAGAGGACAATGGAAATGTAAAAAATAGAAGAGCATCATACAGAAGAATCTAATTCCCTAAAGTTAAGTGGGCCTCACACAAGATATGAAACAAGATTTCTTTTATATCAAATAATGGGATTTTCCACACATGAAGTCTTCTGTGAAGTGATTTATCTTTCTTTTTGGTTTGTTTCTCTCTATTTTTCTTTCTAACTTGTATGTGGGGGTGGAGTTTTGGTATTTGTGACGTTCATGTGGTAGAATTATCTTTGTTTTCAATTGAAAACAGAGGAACAACATGAAATGTTAGGTGTTGTAACGCATGAGACCTTTTCATTGTTTACGCCAGTGTTTCTCAAACTTTTTGGACCACTTAACCAATAAAAAAACACTTGCGGACCACCTAACTCCACAAATATCCAAAAACACATCGTTTTTTGCAAATCGCCTGAAAATGGTACAAACAAGTGGCCACATGTGTGATGAAGGTGTTTATCTGGGCTATATCATGCAATCGAAAGTGAAACTTAAGCTCGCTCCATTGCGGAGATATTCCCGGGAGAGTGTGGAAAACTTTAATTAATTAATTAATTTCAAATGTGAAATGTTACCAATATACTCACGGACCACTAGGGGGCGCTCACGGACCACCAGTGGTCCGCGGACCACACTTTGAGAAGCACTGGTTTACGCCACCTGTTGCTCCCTATAAAACTGACCAGGATAAAAATATAATAGCTTGTGTCATTATATGCAGTCATTAGATTATCAGACCTTATAGGACAGGGCTCTCAAACTCCGGACCGAACTGCAAATCAATCCGGACCGAACCCTGTGTCCCATTATAAAAAATAAAACATAATAAAAAATTAAAACGTTCTGATGTAAATTAATGTATATTTTCTTGTGTCTGACGCGTTGTGAGAATGAACGTATATACTGTATTTACTTGTGTGTGCGAGCGTGACACGCATTGCAGACTGCAAGTTAACCGCCAAGTTTACCTTGACTTTCTAATGCTTCTAATGCCTTTGTTGCCGAGGTTCAAGGCATTGGCTACAGACAAACAGTGCCATTTCTCCCACTAGTTCAAGCCACTATACTGTATGTATTTGAATGTGTGTGTGTATACAGGGGCGCCGTTTGCCGACAGGCAAGGCAGGCAAGTGCTTGGACCAGAAGGGGGCCCCCAAAGAAGGTAGATTTAAGAAGGTCCACAGCAACGACAACATGAAACACCCTTTAATTTACTGCAACGACATGTCGGGAAGCATGTCGTTGCCCCATGCATAGCGCGCCGTAAGAAACTGCTTCTTCATTTCAGTTTCGTTGCTCCGCTCCGCTCCGGGGACTTTGCTGGCATTTATCCGGACCAGTGACCTTGTATAAAATTCACAAGTGGACCTTTAATAAAAAAGTTTGAATACCCCTGTTATAGGAATAGGTTATCTTCTTAATAGTACCAGCATATTAGGGAGCCACTCCAAGTGAGAGTGCTTCTTGGATCAATGCTAATCAGCCTTTTAGTGGAAATATGTTCAAATGTTCTGAGATCTGACAAGGTGTCTTTATGTATTCTTGGCTTTGAAAGGAGTATTGTAACGAGCCAACAAATCAATCTGAGATGAAGACTGAAGAGAAAAAAGTATATGCTGCCAGAAGAAAGCAGAGAATAGGGTTTAGGAAACAAACTATAGAAATAGCTGTTTCTGAAGATCATAAATGAACATTTGAAGACAAAAAAACTGTTTAAAATGTCTTCCATTTTAAAGTCGCTGCAGTATGGTTGATGTGAATTACATGCCATTGAATAATAAAATCACTCTAATCTGATAGCCAGTTCAAGGAAAAGGAAACAAGGAGAAAGGGAATAAAAGAGTGAGAGAGTAATAACACCAATCAGACATCATTAGCAGAGCAGAGACCAGTAATTGGAGATGTGAAGTGTGACTCATTGACAGCTAGCAAGACCTGACACACACACACACACACACAAACAAAAACCATCAACCACTTGTAACACCCTCGTTCTTCCTTTCTTTCTTTCTGTAATTCTGCTGCACTGACACACACATACATAATCACTCTCCCATTTTGAATTCACACAGACACACCATATTATTGCACATGGCTGTATTCTCCACGTCTTTCTTTAATCTTTATATACAGGCCCACACGCGATCACACACACACTTTCTCACAAACTCGAGACAACACATTTCCACTCTCCTTTGCCAGCTTGACATTCACAGTGCTGCCAGCTCCGCCACATAAGAGCTCCTTCCTGTGCTGCTCGCCCACCTGCTGCATCGCACACCATATTACCCAGACAGAAAGCATCTTTTCAACCTTTCGGAGTGAAAAACACTTAACGGAAAGTGCCATTTCTCCTGTGAGCGTCACTGAAATGTCCTCCTTCAGCATGCATCCTCTTTCACATACATAGGGAGAATGTTATTACGCAGGTGGATATGTGTTCGTGCTTCTGACCTTTTGGTGTTGGTTTGCTACCTAAAGAAAGTCACAGGCGTGTGATGAGTCATTTTTTCTACCAACTAAAGTAACGTTACTTTAAAAAGGTGGTTTTCAAACAAAGACATTTGACTGTAAGTTGACTTAAATATGTAAGATAAGGTTTCAATCCACAGGCTACACTGACTTAAAGTGGACCTATTATGCTATATTGGGAACATATATTGTAGGGCCATACCTATACAAAACATGTCTGTGAAGTTTTTTGCTTAAAATACCAAACAGATCACCCATTGTAGCCATGCCTCATACTGCTCCAACACATCCTCACTCCCAGGTCGGCCTATGTTGACGTTATGTCAAGTCCCCTGTCGGCTTTTTCCAACGCAAGGGGGGGGGCCTTAGCGTCCATTTTCAACGCAAGGGGGGGGCCCTTAGCGTCCATTTTCAGCTTTCCGGGATGTCCATATGCTTCTATGGACGCTCATGGAAGCACGGCGTTCGTTTGTGTCGACTGCCCTTAAAGGCAATGTGAGCGTCCATTCTCATTGGATAACGGAGAATTGTACACCCGGAAGTAAGTATTCCCCTTACTGTCGATTGATTTTACAGTGATATCTGCACTACTCATCGACTAAAAAACACCAGATTATCCTTGTTAATTACACAACATTGATTGGTTTAAATTGTGTGCAATGCTTTTGTATTTTTCCCCTTCGATTCGGAGAAACAAATGTTTTTTCGGAGTAAAGGATGGCAGAAGACACTACACTACCCAGAATCCCCAGCTATCGTTAAGCAGGTTAAGGCGGGCTTGCCTAGGCGACCGCCTAGTTCGTCAGTGCCAAGGGCCGGCCCTGAATACAATATACACATCTTGGTTGCTTTGGCTCTGCTAGTACATTAGTAGGGTTCTTGTTTCAGTTTTTGTAACATTTTTACATATTAATTTGTGTTTTGGTGTTAAGTAAATGTAATAGTAATCAGGCCAACACTTTTTTATGACTTGTAGACATTTATTGAAATTTAAACGCCTTTGTGAAACACACTTTTTATAAATAACAGTTAAACCCAAAGTTTATATTTGGCCAATTTTGTTCCGTATAAATAAGAAGAAGTGCTATTCAGCTTATACCCAGCAGTCAGTTATGCTCTCTGAATACATACATGTGAAAAAACATAACAAAACTCCTTCATATTTCCAAGTTAACTATAATGTTTCTGTTAAATAAACGAGGTTTGGTTGCTGCTGTCGGGTCATGGGGCCTTCATGTACTTGTTTTAACTGTGATTGGGTCTCTCATTCGGCTGCGTCTCCACAATACTCAGTTGCAAACCTTCATCTCTCTGCTCACACTCCTCCTCTAGTCGTCCTCTCCTGTCCACTCTCTGTTCTCCATCACTGCCCTGTGCCTGGTCTCTAACATGCACTCCATCACTTTCTTTTATCTCGTTTCCCACGCCTTTGTTGTTTGTACATCCTGGTTCAGTTCTCAGTGTTCTCAGATTGGCACTAGCCTTGATAAAGTAGTCCTCTAGCTCTGCCAGAGGTCCCTTATCAGAGAACAGATGGTGCAGGTATGCCTGGGCGTATTGATCTGAGGTGATAAGGTCCAGGTTAATGGAGGAGGAGGAGGGCACAGTTGGCACAGGGGTGGCGTCAGTCCCAGAGACTCTCATTCTTCTCCCTGTTAAGTTCAACTTAGATCAGTTAAATGCAACTTGACTGAGACGTCTATTTTTTTATAATTTCAAGAAACTCTACCTGTCTCTTCCTTCATGGTGGATAGAGAGAGGGTGACACTCTTTCCTGTCTCTCTGTCCGTCACTGTGAGTCCCGTCATGGACCCCTCCTCTGGCTCCTCGCTGTGGGGGTCACATGACGCCAGAAGACTCCCTCGACATTTCACCACACACACCATATTAGACTTATAATGCCTACAGTGAAGAGATTGGGGTGGGTGAGAGGATCACAAAAATAATTGGCTAAAAAAAACAACATTTGAAACCTTTTATCACATTTGAAAAAAAACTGATAAATGGATCAGTGGATTTTTAAATCATTAATTTATGCAGAAACCTGGATATATTATTTCAGAAATTACAGTGATGAAGGGTTGCTAATGGGGGAGGGGCTGTCAGGTGGTTAAAATCTATTGATGAAAGACAAATAATTAGTTTTGACTTTCATGTTTTATTTCCATGTTGCTGTTGATGCTGTATTGATTGCAGCTATTTCCTGTCTGGCTGGATATTTTTTACTCTAAACAGCAACTCCAAATGAAAGGTAAAGGCTGGACTTTTCTGACAGTGAGATGTGTTTGTTGTGTGTTTCTGCTGTCATATTGGGAGCAGGCTGGAAAGCTTGTCTCATGCTAGACGGCAGGTTCTGTGTGGCTGTGGTTTCCACTGTCAGTCGCTTTATTAGGCTCCTGCTTCTGAACTGAAGTGCTGTGTGTTTCCCTGTCTAATAATAGGGTCTCAAAATCTTCAGTGTGTGTAGTTGTATCAATGTTGTGCAGACTTTTTGCATTGGTTGTCCACCTACAGTCTACAGCTGTACCACAAATATCAAGAGTTTAAGACTCCATGGCACTGGGAATGACATGTGTAACTTCACTTGTTGTTACCCAAGTATATTTTTTATTATTTAAAAGAATATAATTAATAATAGAATAGAATCGTTTAATGTCATTATACATGTATAATAAGATAATAAATGCTTCTCCCTTTCAAGGGTGCCATCAAAACAAAAACATCACAACATAAGACAACAAATACATGCAGCATACATAATTAGGAATAAGGAATAAAGTGCAGTAATTATTTCCAGGAGTATACAAATAAAATCTATAATGTAATAAATAATAATAGTAGTTTATTTATTTATAATAAATAATAAATAAATAATACATTTTAAGTCGTTTTTTAAACTGGAAAGATTGCCAATATACAGCCCCAAAGAATGTGGTGTCAATGACTTGAATCCTCCAACCAAGTTGCCAATTTAGACGGCAACATCTCAGAGAAAACTGGTATAAAAAAATATAATCAAATAATCAAAATGTGCAACCCAATTTATCACGTTTTTCAACCAACAGATTCCCAACTTATAGTCCACTGTGTTGCCTTGTTAGTCAACCAAATGGGCAAATAAATGAGGCACAGAGCCAGTACCACACCAACCTTAGAGCACCCCCACTGCTGTATTACCTGTACGCAGGTATGATCTGTGTGAGGTCCTCCTTGTATTGCTCCAGAGCGGCCCTGGCAGCCCGGGGCTCAGCCTGCCCCTCGAGGCCGGCCAGGTGCACCAACATCTGGGTGTGAAACGCTGCCCCGCTGGCCCAGTGCCTCAGAGACCTGGAGGATCAGACCGTAAGAACAAAACACACCTCAGCATTACTGTTCTTTAACACATGGACCACTATTTATATTATATTTTATTTTACTTACTTGCACTATTATCTGCTTTATTGTGTTGCACTGTTGGAGGAGCCTGTGACCTAAGATTTTCATTGTCATAACTACACTGTAGCTATGCACAAATGATAATAAAAGCCTTGAATCCTTGAATCTTGAATAACTCTCTGCTCTCCTCCATGCAACTATTGCGTGGTCTACTTTACACAATGCAGCTAATTACCAAGCTGGGGGTGGTCCTGAAGAACATCATGGGCGATAACAAGGCCTTCTTGATTTTAATGTGTGTTTAACGTATATGTACAGTTGGCATATATATATATATATATATATAAGGATTTTATACCAACATAATAATTTTTCATTTTAATTTTGACCATCTATTTATATAAACCAGATTTAGATTTAACTCAAAATACATGAGACATCTTACACAAACATTTTGCAGATATTGTGTTCACTATTTGGGTTAATTGTACATGTTATCAGTTTTGCCGTTATTGTTATGCATAAAATATGATAAAGAACATCCATAACATATGTCATTTACTCAGGGGTACTTCAGTTTAATCAATGACAAAAAGTTGGCGCTTTAGAAAAGGATAGGAACCACTGCTCGATCCTGTGTGGCAGTAAACCCTGAGCAACAACTCCTTCAATCCCCTGTTTCCTGCTCCTCTGTTAATCTCTACTCCTCTGTGCTCACAGCTAGGGCTGCTCGATTATGGCAAAAATCATAATCTCGATTATTTGGGTCAATAATTGAGATCACGATTATTAAAAACGATTATCCATTTACTTTGAAAACATCCATTTATTGGAGAAAGAAAATTTGAACAGTATGTTTTTAACAGTTGATTACCCTGAACTTTAAGTATAATTCAACTGAAAAACCAAAAAATAAATAATAATAATATAATCGTTTTATATCGATTACGTTGTTTTTCTAATCGTTGCAAGCCATAATCGTAATTGCGATTAAAATACGATTAATTGAGCAGCCCTACTCACAGCTATTTTAATCTCTCACCTGGAGTCACAGTCTCCCCCCAGCAGGGAGGTCTTCAGCTGGGTGAGGGTGAGGCTGAGCTGAGCTTCAAGTCTCACAGAGTCCTGGATTAGTTTGCTTTTGTCACTCAGGTTTATCCTGCAGCGCTTCAGGTACTCCTCCGTCACCTCCTGCAGCTCCCAGACCCTCTGCTGGAGGGAGACAATGGATATGGTGACTTTCTGCAACAATCTTTATATTCGGTTTCATAACTCTCCAAGACTTTGTGTTTGTCCCTATATATAAATATACTCTATAATAGAACAATCTACTAATACAATAATAAAAACATATGACACAAGAAATACATGCATGGATATTGCAGTATGGACATTTTTTCAACAATCTTTATATTTGGATAAGGGGGTTCATAACTCTCGTAGACTTTCTGTGTCCCTATATTTAAATATACAGACTAAGTTAGAATACACTATAATAGAGCAATCTACTAATAAAATAATTTAAACATAGGAAACAATATGCAATATCAAAGTGTGCAAAGTAGATTGAATTGCAATTAAATGCAGTTAGGAAGTGTGAGTAAAATCTTTGGAAATTGTACAGGGGGTGTTTCTCAATGTCGAGGAAGGCTGCTCCAGAGACACTATTTCAAGGATACTACATCATCGAGTGCCGCCGAAGGACTGTTCCACTGTCCAGGATACTTGGAATTCTACCGAGGCCGGCGTACTTCGTCGCGGGACATTTCGAGGCTGCACATGTGTAGACTCTGCGGTCTTAAAATCCCCACAATGCTTTGCGCACGGACCAATTTCCTATTCTTTGACGGAAATCGCGCTCCATTTAAGGCGGGGCCTCGCATATGACGCACACCTGTTAGCCTGTTCCACCACTCTTCGTTTTCCGAGGCCAGGAAGGATTCTTGCCTCGCTTCGAAGCAACTGACTCGGAGGTACATTTGCTACCAAGCAAGCCTCCTCGACATTGAGAAACACCCAGGGTATGTGAAAAAAAACACTCATAAGCAAACTTGTTTTAAACAGTTGTCTTAGAAGTCTCAGTGGATGTATAGAGGAATGTGCTCTGTTGTAATATTTCACCAAGCACTCTTCATAAATCCCCTTCATTGTGTTTACCTGGCCTGATGACGACCCCGCTGACTTCCCTTTCACAGCTGATGGCTGTTTCGATGTGTAGGCCATATCCATCACCATGGAAACCACCAATCCCACCAGGCCGGCCAGGCGTGGCTCATCAGAGAAGGACGACAGTCGGCCAATCAGATCCTTCAGGTAGGTCGGCGCCCTTTTCCCAATGTCGCCCTGTAGCTGGATGAGAAGAAGTAAACAGAAATGTGCTTCTTACCATACGTCACAAAACAATAGACATACTCTCTTTTTTTAAGAACAACTTTGCACTGCATTTTATCATCATGGTATTGATCTGCAACCTCTCTACGGCTACTTTTCTAATATTGAGTGGTGTTTCATTTTGCACAACCACTCTTTCTTAACTATCTCAAGACAACCACATCTTTCCTTCCCAACCTGTTCAGCTCCATCTGCTCTGCATGACTCAACAGATTAAAAAAACTAAAAAGCAGTTCACTCTCTCAGCCTTTTTCAGAGGGAGCATCATCATCTCATGTTTCTAGTCAGTTTTGCTCATAAACAGCCATTTTACTGTCACACTTGTCCTTTTAATTGTTATATACCTGTTTTAGTTGTTCCTGGAGGCCGGCCCGGGAGTCAAAGCTCTCTCCGTGATTGGATAAGAGGAGAGGGTGGACGACTTCGAGGTCAGGTACAGCGCCGCCTTCCAACATGGCGTCGTAGAGGACGAAACCCATCGCATCCTTCACCTGAGAAAGCTGTTCTTCTGATGAGAACAGTTGGCCCATGGTGGTGTTTGTGTGTGTGTGGACAAATCAGTAAATAATCCAAAATGATGGCAGCATCTGGGGAAGAAGGAAGAAGAAAGGAAATTGCAGGTAAAATAGACAAGACAATTCTTCCGCATTAAATAACCTGTGCCAATAGTGAATCACATCCTTAGATAACAAAACAGTAAGTACAGTCTCTTATTATTATTTTTTTACATGATTTTAAACATCATATACTATAATCTTAAGGGTTTGAAGTTGTTAATGTCTTTAAACAACTCAAAACTAAAGAAAAATGTTTTTAAGATTGGATTATTAAGATTAAGATTCAATTTATTGTCATTACGTAGTACAGGTACTATGTAACAAAACGGTTTCTCTGCATTTGACCCATCCTAGTGTTAGGAGCAGTGGGCTGCCATTATGTACGGCGCCCGGGGAGCAGTGTAGGGAACGGTGCCTTGCTCAGGGACACCTCGGTAGCACTTGGTCTTTCCGGGAATTGAACTGGTGACCTTCCAGTTGTCAAGCCAAGTCCCTATGGACTTTGCCAACACCGCCTAGGATATAAACAAGATTTAAGACGTGAACAAAAGCTATATTCACAGAGCTGTCCCTCTCTGCTAAACAGCCTTGTCCTGCATTCAAATAAATGTGCAGTTTAAACAACCTAATAGGAAAATGGCTGGGCAACAGGCAAAAGAAAACACTGACATTGTCACAAAAAAACACACTTTTAAATAAAAAAGTGAAGGCAATTTAGTGTATAAATAATACTTCAGCATTGATTAACCAGTGCAAATACTAAAATACATATAACATTAAGCCTAGGCTCTTTTACATGAGTATAAACATCATGTGATACTACTATGAGTTTGAACACAAGTTGTGAATGTGAACTTCATCTCAAGACCAAAGCAAAAGTAGATATTTAAGAAATACCACAAATATCAGTTAGACATAACATTTTCCAAATAGCTCCCTAACATTTAAAATGAAGGTACCAGCAGCATTTCAGTCACATATCTCATCTATCTACTAACAGTCAGTTGTGTTTTGGGCATACTCTCTTCACCTCTCTTCCTCCTCTTCCTCTTCCTCCTCTCCTGCTGCAGTAAAGAGATTATCCAAGACAACACCGCAGCAGAAAGTAACTCAGCATTAAACTAGAGCTCCCCCTATCTGCAGAGCCAGGAAATGCCACTGCTGTAAATGCTGGGGACAGTTGCTCATGTATTCAAAGCCAAGGCTGTCATTCTGTTAGGGGTTTGTCCCAGTAATCTCCATATGAGAGGGTTAATGTTGCCTTTCTGCTGTTGGTGCCTGGAGAATGAAAACCTCTGATAATAGATAGTTTGCCCTTTTTCTCATTAAGTGAATGCATGATATTGAAATTAAACTAATCCTCCTTGTGTTAGGGGACTTTGTGGAAGAGGACCTTGGGTAGTAATATAAACTCTGTATGGCTGTGTTAAACATTGTCAAAATAGGCCAAGGGCTTTCAGCTTTCTTTTTTTAGTTAAGTGGAACAGTGGCCTTGGGTGTTTGATGTTGACTTTTTTTATTTGATGGAATATGGGGCAAGGGGATTTGGGATTGTGTGTGTGTGTAAGAGGTGTTCTTTGTTAACTGGGACAAGGGCTTATGCACTGCCAGGACTCAGAAGTGTGTGTGTGTGGTGTGTGTGTGTGGTGTGTGTGTGTGTGTGTGTGTGTGTGGTGTGTGTGTGTGTGTGTTGTGTGTGTGTGTGGTGTGTGTGTGTGTGTGTGTGTGGTGTTTTGTGTGTGTGTGTGTGTGTGTGTGTGTGTGTGTTGTGTGTGGTGTGTGTGTTGGCTACACAACTGAAATGAGTAACACTGTCGCTTGCGCTCCTTTTAATGGGTGTTTTGTCTATCCTCATTGGATTAAACCTGGTAGACATTCCTCAGTCATCTGTTATTCACAATCAGTGTTTTAGCCATCAAAAGGATTCAAACAGCTATGTCCTTTCCTGTTGGTGGGTTCAGTGGTTTGATGTTGTTATCTTTTGCCTTTTTTCTATGATTGACTTTAAAAGGAGACAACACACAGCACTATCTTATTATAGGATTAGCCAAATGTCTCTCTCATGATAACAACAGTTTAATTTTTTCAACTTTGTTCAAACCTGCTCAAATCAATGTTTTAACATTGAATCACATTTATTTCAATTGAAAACGTTTTGCTAACATTAGCCATGCCAAAGTTTAAAAGGTAAAAGCATCTGAATTATGTGTTGTATTACAACTGCCCCAAGTGGCCAAAAAATATTGAATGCAGCTTTAAAACACCCTTTTTATTCCAAGCAAAACTAATCAAAGAGCACATTAAGTTATTGTCAAAGCCAAGGTAAGGGAGGGCGTGGCTAACGATGTCCACTGTTTTCCTATCCTAGTGGACTGAAAAGTTACATTTTATAATAATCATATTTTACACTCTGTCCAGGGCCAAAGCATTTATTTCAGGGAAGGGCAGCTTAGTCCCTTATCAACAATCTGCTAAAAAGCCCACGTCTTTAGACTTGTAAAAGTACCACACTCAAGCAGATAACCAAACTTGGCTAAAACCAAGTGCTCTGCAAATAGAAAATATGCATTTCCGGACAGAAGACGTTTTGACATGAAAAGCACCGGTGTAATCAAGATTAATGATGGCTGAATTCCATTTAGCTTGGTCAGTCTCAGGGTCTTGAACAATAGTGCTTTCCCTGACGACAACGACAAAATGCCCGCTGTAAAAAAGGTCTAAGGAGATGATTTGTTTGAATTAATGTTGATAAGAAACAGTATAATATACATTGAAATCTGTACACATGGGAAGGGAATAATATAAGAAGAAATTACACATTTTATGAGATAGTCAATCCAGCACCAGACACTTGTTACGCTGCTATGCACAGTCTTGCACTAATGTAGGCTACATTTTTCAAAGTTATTGAAGTGACAGTTATTTTCTATATATTGATTGTTGTGCTTTTTATTTATGTCTAAATGTGTGCATATATAAATGTGTCTGTTGATTGTGTATATATTTAGGTATATACATATTTGTATACATATTTTCATATATCTTTGTTATTGTATTTGGGGTGGGAAACGGTATTTCGATCTCTCTGTCTGTACACACAAACTGAAAGATTGACAATAAAGTTGATTTGACTTTTGACTTTGGTTTGCTCACTTGTTTACGGTAGGTTCACTGGGCATTTTGACAATAACATGTTGATGTTTTTAAAAAGTGAAGGCGTTAAAGCTTTACACAGCAGGCATGTAACGACCCACACATGGGCCAACACAAACCTTCTCCTTCTGTCTTTGCCTCCAGTCTGTTTTCCATCCTCAATCTCTTTCCTTCGCCTGTTTTTGCTTCTGTCAGTTGATGCTGTGCTCTCTGTCTCACACTCGCTCTCTCCCATGGATGCTTGACATGTTGACACACACTTCAGACTCCTCTGAGGGCCACTACAATATTTAAAAATGCTCACGTCATACACACATACTGTATACACACATCAGCACTTAGAAATAGGTCTTTGGATGCACATATGTAGTGAATGTTCTCTGCTACCTCCCCTCTCAGCCTTTTCTTTCAGTCGTAACCCTCTCTCTCTAAAGGTCTCATTTTCCATTTGAGAGTCGAGTAAAGATAAAAAGGAAATAAAGTTGAGGAGAGGGCAGGAAACAGATGATGAAAGAAGAGAAGGGAATGAAGCGGGGAAGAGAGCCGAAGAGGAGAGTAATCCAAAAGAAAATAATTAAAAGATAAAGTCAAGTTTGATGTTCATATAAGAGAGGAGTTGACAGATGGACACACACACGCACACACACACGTACAATAATAGTCTGGCCTTTTGAAACCTCAGTGAATATTAATCATCACACAAAGAATGTGTAATTAGATAAGAGATAATGACATTTCATCAAGTTTAATTTTCATTTAGAAAATACATGATTCAGGGAGTGGACGTTTGACATTTAAGTCTCTGTGAGTGTGTGTGTTATCTGTGTGTGTGTAAAGACAAAGAAAGGTTTCTGTATGTGTGTGTGTGTGTGTGTGTGTGTGTGTGTGTGTGTGTGTCATAATTCCTAGTTGCTGAAAATCACTGGCAAAAGAGAATTATGTCCAAGTATAACACTATTTTGTTGTTTAAGTTCGGATCTCTTGTGATGTAGGTGTCAGTGGGAAATCGTGGTGTACCGAACATTATGGTCTCAGTGATGTTTAAATTGTGTGACCAAAATTAATTATTTGACACCAACATGAACAAGTTAATGGTCGTGATGGTTTAGTTTGTCATCCCCTAACGTAGCAAACAAAGGAAAGGAAACAGTGGAACTTGGTTTTCCCTCAAACTGCCCTTGTGTTTTTAACATTTTGCGGGTACACTGAAAGGGGAGTAACCCTAACCCCTCCTTGTAATAACTTAAGCATCACTTGATTCCCCCCAATTTCATTCCTTTGTGTGAATAATTGTTCTATGCAGAACGTTAAATCTGCTAATATCCTGCATCCTGCCACACTGTTTATATTGGTGTCGCTTTCCCTTCATAACATCTATGCTGCACTAATAAGTTCAACGTGATAAAACAAAGCTAGTTTTTTTTCTCTTTCTTTGTAATTATCATTTTCCTTCCATTTATTTTCTGTATTCCGTGACTCCTTCCTCTCGTCATCCTTTCTTCTCTTCCTACCTCGATCTCTTTTATCCCTCTCCCTCCTTCCGGGGTGTGGAGGAGAATAAAAACAAGTTTAATATACAATAATACATCACGCCATGACAGGTCTGCCAAGCAGCATCCATTTTGTGAAGCTGTTGTGTTCACTTAGCAGCATTGGGGCTAATTATTGCAAATGGCAGCTGTTGGAAAGAGTATTAATGTATTCTTTCTACATGGATACATCCAATATTATGGGCTGATGAAAGTAGTCACAGGCTAAACTTTAAAGAGAACGAGAGTGACAAAGAAACAGGGGGAACGGGATTGTGTCTTGTTGGTTAAAAGCCCAGTAAATCCAACTGCATCCATTTTAATCAAACCTGTCACTGACTCGGAGTACTGTAATCATTATTCACCTTGCAGCCCAATAACGTTTTATATCGAAAGCATTTTAGTGTAACAGGGCCTCTGACTGTGAGATGAGGAGCTGTATTACAGACAGAAACATTATTCTGCAACCTGTTAATATTCTGAAGAAGGAACTCACTTAACGTTTTTAGATAAAGACATGTTGTGCTAATTGGATGACGGGTGCATTTGTCAAATAAATGTAATGTAGCGAAAAAATAAGTGTGCAGTGTGGATCTGTCAAAGTGGGGATTCTAATGAAGGCAGCGTACTGAGGAATGCTCAGTTTAATTTATGCTGTGTAATACTTCTCAACTTCTACAAAAGGGATTGTTACCCAATTAAAAAACACTCATGTATGCTTTCCATATGAATGAATATGCTTTGCTTAAAGGGGGTATGTAATTTGGAGAAACCAGCTCGAGTGCGCTAGAATTTGAAAGTACACAACCGGAAAAAATCTGCCCCTTCATTACAGAGCCCCTCCTCCAACACACACGAACGCGCACATGACCAATGAGGGCACGAGATAAATTTGTGCACAGATGGAAGGCTGACAGGCAGGTACGCCATCCAGTTACTTTAGCCGGGCCGGCTCAGATGATTGGTCGTGCTTTTTACAGCGCCACG